GTCGTGGATTTATTAAAGAATATTTTTTGAAGCCACTTTTGAAGAGGCGTGGATTTATTAAAGAATATTTTTTGAAGCCACTTTTGAAGAGGCGTGGATTTATTAAAGAATATTTTTTAAGCCACCTTCAAAACAGTCGTGGATTTATTAAAGAATATTTTTTGAAGCCACTTTTGAAGAGGCGTGGATTTATTAAAGAATATTTTTTGAAGCCACTTTTGAAGAGGCGTGGATTTATTAAAGAATATTTTTTGAAGCCACTTTTGAACAGGCGTGGATTTTTTAAAGAAAATTTTTTCAAGCCACCTTTGAAGAGGGGTGGATTTTTTTAAAGATATTTTTCAAGGCGTACCAAGGCTTTGTTTGTTTCCGATATCCCCAAATATATGAAGTACACCACTGTCCCGTATTATGTTACAAAAATCCCTGGCGCTAAGCTCTTCCAAAAATATCCAACATGATACCTGATCTACATTTAAAATGCTATTGCTGGTAAACTACTATCACTCCTCCCACTGCCCCCAACCAAAAAACGTTTTATGGTTTAAAACTGAACCTCTCCTCCTACCCTCCACCAGTTTTAATATTATTGTGTAATTCTAGATTCCCGAACAGGGCAACAGTCTCGCAACAACCGAGGTAAACAAATGTGCGTAGCAGAACAAATGCCAAACTATACCGCAAATGAAGTCATGTTTATTCAACACAAATACCAACACAAAAAGCCACTTCCTTTCGGGTGGAGGACCAGCAGAGGGCACACATGTGAACGGAACACGCACATCTAAACAACAGCAACAACAAAAAAACTACATCGAAATACTGGACCTAACTAACTTCACAACATTGTATTCCACCTTCTGGTCTGCATATCCTTGTGTTCCGTTGTTCTGCCGTTAAGCTAGCAATTCGCGTAAAAGTTCAAATGGCTATTTCACGCATCGTTTGACGTGAAATATGTTCAGGGAATTTTAACTAGAATATCAGATCAACATGGAACATTGGGACGGTGGATTGTTGGGTCGTTTGGTGTAACAGAATGAATTTGGTCCATTCTAATAGACAAGCTGTAGCGCTGAAAATGCATACTTACTTTATGGGCGGTCGAATAATGGAAACAAGAAAAACGGAAATTAACAAAATAGGTCAAACAGTTTTTTTTTTCACGGAAATGAAGTGGAATAGGTTATGAGAACAAAAATGGAAAGGGAATCATATTTACACATTGGACCTTAAAAAAATATTCTTTAAAAATTCTACACCACTTACGTCTCTTGTAGTGCTTGAAAAAAATATTTTTGTTAAACTACTCCTCTTCGAAAAATATCCTTCATTTCACAATTCCTTTGTCCATTGTAGCCTTGACCTCAGGCTATGAACTTTCCTAAACTGTTTATCTTAATGAAAACGTTTCTTGTTTTTCATTGTCCATTTTCTTCATTTGCCTTTCTTCTTCGTTAGCAATTAACCATTTTATAATTGTCCTTGTTGAAATTATCCTTTGCCCTCCGTTCTCTATCTACAATAAAATTTAATTGTTTCCCCTTTTTTTGGAAAGCGGCCCTTAAGCGGTGTCCATTCTCCCACTAAAAAACAATAGTCCGCTATTTTCTTTCAGCAAAAATAGTCTCTTATCGCGATATATCTTTCTTTCATTTCTGTTTCTTGTTTTACTATTCTTTATTTTTTTTTTTTTATTATTTTTTTATTGTTGTTGTGTCTCCTCTTTAATCGCGCTCATCCATTCGGGCTTAAAAGTTGTTGCTGTTGTTTTTGTTGTATTCGCGTAGTCTGCTGCCTCCTTTTTGTTTTTTGCCACTTAACGCATAATAGGGACTAAAGGTGCCGTCAAGAAGTGGCATTAGCAGGGTCTTAGCAGGACACGTTTTTGTTGTTGTTGTTGCTGCTGCTGTTGTGGACTGTAAATAACTAAATAGAATGAAAGGATTTCAGTACAAATCTTGAAATGTTCTTATGAATGACTTTATAAGTGTCTCGGAGAAGGATGAAGGAAACGGAAATTATCTTTGGAGATAATTTGCCAAAAAAATGCCTTCAAGTGGACTTGACTTTAAGAGGCTAATAAGTAATTTTAGATGGAATAAGACGAACAAGCATTTTTGTTTTTGTTCAATATTTTTTTTTGGTTTCAAGGCCTACAAGAGGAGGGGATTTTTTTAAACAATGTTTTTTTAAGGTCTACAATAGTCGTGGATTTTTCAGGAATAATTTTTTCATGTCCTACAAGAGGTGTGGTTTGTTTAAAGAATAATTTTCAAGACCTACAATAGGCGTAGATTTTTTATAATATTTTTTAAAAGTCCTGTAACAGGTATAGATTTTTTAAAGAATATTTTTTCAATGCCTACAAGAGGCTTGGATTTGTATACCCTTCACCACACTGTGGTATTATGGGTATTATGACTTTGTGCATATGTTTGTAACAGGCAAAAGGAAACGAGATAGACACATGGTTCCTTTTGAGAATATGCATAGAATCACTTTTTGAGTCGATTTATGCATGTCCGTCCGTCTGTAGATGTTAAATTGTAAACAAAGTACAGGTCGCATTTATGATCCGATTTGGATGAAATTTGGAACAAGTCACTTATTTGGCCCATGGACGAACCCTATTGGGGAAAATCGGTTCAGATTTAGATATAGCTCCCATATATATTTTCGTCCGATATAGGCACCAAAGTCCCTATATATCTTTCGATTTGCAAGAAATTTGGCATAGCGTACTGCCTTAGGTCCAGAATGATGTTTGTATATATATATATTTTCGTCCGATTTAAGGTAAATGGTGCACCAAAGTCCGAATATATTTTTCCATTTGCAAGAAATTTGGCACAGCGTAATGAATTAGGTCTAGAATGATGTCTGTTAAGTTTCATGAAAATCGGTTCAGATTTGGATATAGCTCCCATATATATTTTCGTCCGATTTAAGGTAAATGGTGTACCAAAGTCTCTATAAATCTTTCGATTTGTATGAAATTTGGCACAGCGTAATAAACTAGGTCTAGAATGATATGTGTCAAGTTTCCTGAAAATCGGTTCAGATTTAGATATAGCTCCCATACATATTTTCGTCCGATTTAATGTAAATGGTCCATCAAAGTCCCTATATATCTTTTGATTTGCACGAAATTTGGCACAGCGTACTGAACAGAGCCTAGAATGAAGTGTGCTAAATTTTGTGAAAATCGGTTCAGATTTGGATATAGCTCCTATATACATTTTCGTCCGATTTTAGGTAAATAGTGCACCAAAGTCCCTTTATATGCTTCGATTTGAACGAAATTTGGCACAGCGTAATTAATTAGGTCTGGAATGATGTGTGTCAAGTTTCCCGAAAATCGGTTCTGAGTTGGATATGGCTCCCATATATATTTTCGTCCGATTTAAGGTAAATAGTGCACCCAAGTCCCTTTATATGCTTCGATTTGCACAAAATTTGGCTTAGCGTACTAAATTGAGTCTAGAATGATGTGTGCTAAGTTTCGTAAGAATTGGTCGAGTTTTCGATATAGCTCCCATATATATGTTCGTCCGATTTTATATAAATGGTGCACCAAAGTCCGAATATATTTTTCGATTTGCACGAAATTTGGCACAGCGTAATGAATTAGGTCTAGAATAATGTGTGTCAAATTTCCTGAAAATCGGCTCAGAGTTGGATATAGCTCCCATATATATTTTCGTCCGATTTTAGGTAAATAGTGCACCAAAGTCCCTTTATATGCTTCGATTTGCACAAAATTTGGCTTAGCGTACTAAATTAAGTTTAGAATGATGAGTGGTGAGTTTCGGTTTTATGTAAATAATGCATCAAAGTCCGAATTTTGTTTTCGATTTGCACGAAATTTGGCATAGCGTGCTGAATTGCGTCTAGAATGATGTGTGCTAAGTTTCGTGAAGATCCGTTCAGATTTAAATATAGCTCCCATATATATTTTCGTCCGGTTTTACATAAATGGTGCACCAAACTCATAATGTTTGGTGAAGGGTATCATATAGTCGGCCCAGTCCCACTTTATTACTTTCCTTACTGGTTTTTATTTTGTATTTACAAAAACCTAACCTTTCACATGGATTGCTTTCATGACTGACTGTTTTGTGATTGTTTTTGTGTGCCACAAGGTCAAGTTATTCATGTAATTCACATAAAAAAATGCATATAAATAAATGCACATGTGCTCTAGTACATAATATACTATTTACACGGTATATATACTGTCATATAATAACATAGAGACATATACACGAACTGTCTCTTAAATTCGGAAGGGCAGCAAAAAATAAAAACAACAAATATTCTAACTTTTGGGGATTTTCTACTAGTGTTTAAACTTTGATTTTTCAAACGTTAATTTTATGTTCATCAGATCATAGCCCATTTCGTCACTTTTGGCAAAATATTGACCTTTATGACTTCGACTTCCCAGGCCGATTATTTACGTATGTAGCGTCTTATAGTTCTATGCGAAATTTCAAGCTCCAACTCCAGTTTCAGCGATCATTTACATGGCCAGTACCTCCCCCTTGGCCGAGGCCTCTCTATATGGAATGAATAGAATAAATAAAAAATAGAATATTAGCAACCTCTATTCGATTTTACTCGGTCAATAATGACACTTTTTTGTTCGTTCGTCCAAGTATTTTATTTTTGCACTAAAAATAACTAAAATACGTCATTATTAAATATTCTATTTTCTATTATTTTATGTTTGTTTGCCAAGTTCCATTTTTTTGTCTTTTTTCTCTATGTTTACCGTTCATGACTTCATATTACATATAATCCAATAAAATTGCCTATAATTGTTTAATAAATCAGAATTTATTAGTTGTTTTTATTCTAATACCCACCAGATAAACAGTTAAACCAATCAAATTGCCAGAGGTAATATCGATTTTTACGCCAGTTGTACAATAAACATAGAGCTCAACAGATTCTATTAAGCGGAATAAAAAAATTAAAGAAAAACTAAACACATAATGGAAACAACAAAAGGTAAATTTGACAAATTAAAATTTATTCATATTTTTAAATATATTATTCGAAACTCATTTTAGAATAATGATTTTTTTTTTTTTTTTGCAAAATAGTCAGGCTTAATCCCAGTTTGTTGTTTTTATAAAAAAAAAGAAATGATAAGAACATAGTCTCTTTCTAAAGTGAACTGTATAAGTTCTGTAGTACCTCTTTGCATTCTAATCCACCCGTATTGAATGCAACCGTTTTCTGGGAATTGGAAATTTTTATATGTGATCTTTTTACTTCTAGATGCTGCAACAAGGAAGAATGAATCCGAACATACTCATACTGAAATTAATATAAGTCAAGAAGTGCCACCATCCAATGGAATTACAAATGACAGGAAGGATTTTGTAAAAATATCCGACGATAGCAAAAAAATGCAGCAAAATACCTGCAAATTACCGAAACGACATTTAGAATGTCGTGAATCCTATTTTACCGAATTGATGAAAAATGATCATATCCGATGTGTTTATAATTTATTTATTGTTGCGTTCATATTCTATTTGGCCTATAATATTATGGATGATTATTTCGTAAAAGGAAGGTGAGTAGTACAGAATATTTTTTAAGACCTCATAAATGTGTGGATTTTTTAAAGAAAATTTTTTCAAGCCCAGAAGAGGCGTGGATTTTTTAAAGAAAAATTTTTCAAGCCCAGAAGAGGCGTGGATTTTTTAAAGAATATTTTTTCAAGCCCAGAAGAGGCGTGGATTTTTTAAAGAATATTTTTTCAAGTGGATTTTTTAAAGAATATTTTTTCAGAAGAGGCGTGGATTTTTTAAAGAATATTTTTTCAAGCCACCTTCAAAAGAGGCGTGGATTTTTTAAAGAATATTTTTTCAAGCCACCTTCAAAAGAGGCGTGGATTTTTTAAAGAATATTTTTTCAAGCCACCTTCAAAAGAGGCGTGGATTTTTTAAAGAATATTTTTTCAAGCCACCTTCAAAAGAGGCGTGGATTTTTTAAAGAATATTTTTTCAAGCCACCTTCAAAAGAGGCGTGGATTTTTTAAAGAATATTTTTTCAAGCCACCTTCAAAAGAAGCGTGGATTTTTTAAAGAATATTTTTTCAAGCCACCTTCAAAAGAGGCGTGGATTTTTTAAAGAATATTTTTTCAAGCCACCTTCAAAAGAGGCGTGGATTTTTTAAAGAATATTTTTTCAAGCCACCTTCAAAAGAAGCGTGGATTTTTTAAAGAATATTTTTTCAAGCCACCTTCAAAAGAAGCGTGGATTTTTTAAAGAATATTTTTTCAAGCCACCTTCAAAAGAAGCGTGGATTTTTTAAAGAATATTTTTTCAAGCCACCTTCAAAAGAAGCGTGGAGGCGTGGATTTTTTAAAGAATATTTTTTCAAGCCACCTTAGGAGAGGCGTGGATTTTTTAAAGAATATTTTTTCAAGCCACCTAAAGAAACTTGTTTTAATTTTTTGTTTAAAACCCCTAACTTTCACATGGTTTACTCTCATGTCTGACTGTTCTATGATTATTTTTGTGTGCAACAAAGTCAGATTATTCATACAGAAATAAAGGCATACGAATGTAGACACAAATGTACAAACATATGTTCTTGTACATAATATACTATTTACACGTTTGATATATATATATATATATATAGTGAGACAAGTATAAAATGGCAATAGGCAGAACGAATACAAGTCCACAAGTTGTATATTGTGTCAGATTGTAAACAAATATTAACCAAACGATGACATATTAAAGCAATTTCGAATTAAAAAAGAACTTTTTTTTATTCGACCGGATATTTAGAAAGTAAATTAAAATTGAAAAAAATCTAAAAATATCGGTAATTTTCTGCAAATATGTTGTTCACCCTTTAAGGCTAAAACTTTCAAAATACCGATAATGTGGCGAGGCCTTTATATGAATTGGAGATCCCAACCGAGCCACCGACCACATTTTGGAGGGTATAAATTGTTCGGGACTTGACCACGTTTTTAATTTTTTTAAATACTAACCCCATTTTTGTATTGCACTGTGTGTATTACACTTTTGTGTATCTAATTAATGAATTTTATAAAATTTTATTTTTATTTATTTAATTGTTACATTAATTGATTAACCGGTATTTATTACCTTTTTTAATATAATACCGATCAAATAAACAGTTCAACAAATCGAAACTGGTAATACTGATCTCGAAATCAGTTCTAAATTTAACATCAAGCTAAACGGTTTCAGTTAGACGGAATAAAAATATATATCTATGTATATTGAACTGTCGAAGTAAACAAATTATAGAAACAATGAAAGGTAATACGGTGGGAGAATTTTCATTGCTTCAATTGCTTAGGTCTAAATTTGATTTGATGTAATTTTCACTTCTAGAGAAAAATATAAATAATCTGCAGAATGATGAGTCGGAGCAAACACATTTGGAAATTAATATAGAGGCTAGGCAACCCCTCGCATCGAATTGTTCAAGGAATGCCAATGAAAATGGAAACAACGACGCAAATTACCGAAACGCCATTTAGAATGTCGTGAATCCTATTTTACCGAATTGATGAAAAATCCTCACATCCGATGTGTATATTATTTATTTATTATTGCGTTCATATTCTATTTGTCGTATAATATTATGAATGATTGTTTCGTCAAAGGAAGGTGAGTATGAAGCTAATAAAAAAATATTAAAATATCCACGGCTTCCGCAGGTCCATAGAAAAATATTTTAAAAAATACACGCCTTGCGCAGGTCCATAGAAAAATATTTTAAAAAATACACGCCTTGCGCAGGTCCATAGAAAAATATTTTAAAAAATCCACGCCTTGCGCAGGTCCATAGAAAAATATTTTAAAAAATCCACGCCTTGCGCAGGTCCATAGAAAAATATTTTAAAAAATCCACGCCTTGCGCAGGTCCATAGAAAAATATTTTAAAAAATCCACGCCTTGCGCAGGTCCATAGAAAAATGTTTTAAAAAATCCACACCTTGCGTAGGTCCATAGAAAAATATTTTTTAAAAATCCAAGTCCATAAAAAAATATTTAAAAAAATGCACGCCTTGCGTAGGTCCATAGAAAAATATTTTAAAAAATCCACGCCTCGCGTAGGTCCATAGAAAAATATTTTAAAAAATCCACGCCTTGCGTAGGTCCATAGAAAAATATTTTAAAAAATCCACGCCTTGCGTAGGTCCGTAGAAAAATATTTTAAAAAATCCACGCCTTGCGCAGGTCCATAGAAAAATATTTTAAAAAATCCACGCCTTGCGCAGGTCCATAGAAAAATATTTTAAAAAATCCACACCTTGCGTAGATCCATAGAAAAATATTTTAAAAAATCCACGCCTTGCGCAGGTCCATAGAAAAATATTTTAAAAAATCCACGCCTTGCGCAGGTCCATAGAAAAATATTTTAAAAAATCCACGCCTTGCGTAGGTCCATAGAAAAATATTTTAAAAAATCTACGCCTTGCGTAGATCCATAGAAAAATATTTTAAAAAATCCACGCCTTGCGTAGGTCCATAGAAAAATATTTAAAAAAAATGCACGCCTTGTGGCTACATGTTGGAGTGTATAAAACGTGCGGTCAGGTCGAAATTTACGATTTTTTTGTTTATTTTTTGTCTTTTAGAATCACCTTGGCTGCGAATACATTCCGCGAGGGATTTATTAATATCCACTATGCCCTTGGTATGTGGCTTATTCTGCAATTGTATGCCTGTGCTATATATTATCCTGTGAAAATCTGGGCAAATATCCGAGCCAAACTTCACAAACATGGTTGGTATATAGGAAAATATATCATTCCAAAAAAAAACTAATTTTCTTCTTTCTCTTTCAGATTTTCTACAATCATTGTGGTCTCTAACATGGCTTTTGGCCTACATAACAAGTCAAGGATTATTTGTATATGTTCCAGCGAAAGTCTCCTTGGAGTATAATATAAGAAATGCCTCGTGTTTTGGCCTACTCTTCGATACCATGCGATTGGTAATGAAACAGCATGCCTTTGTGCGGGTAATTTGTGGAAGGGTGGTGAGCGGAAAATCCCCCACTACAACTTGTCCAATTCAACAAGGAAACTCAACAAGAGAAAATAATTTGGATGATCCTGAAATACCCCGATTTCCAAAATATCTTTATTATTTATTTGCTCCCACTCTATTGTATCGGGATAATTATCCACGAACCTCGCAGATACGTTGGAAGTTTGCAGTAGGCCATTTTATAGAATGCCTGGCTTTCGTCTTTTTATTTGCCTTTCTCTACGAGAATCATTTACTGCCAATATTGGAAGACTATGGCAAAGAAAAGATTACTGGAGAAATTCTTATTCGCACCTTCTTTAAGATAAACCTAACAATCGTTCTCATGTTCCTGAGTTTTGTCTATTTTCTGCTACACTCCTGGAATAATTTCACCGGAGAACTGTTGAAGTTCGGTTATCGTAAATTCCACTCAGACTGGTGGTTATCCAAAGATTATTTGCAATTTTTCCACAAATGGAATAATCTGGTCGGAGATTGGTTATATGAATATATTTATCGGGATATGTATATGTATGGTTTTTAAGGACAGTAAGGCTGCATCGGCTATGACAGTGTATTTTATATCCGCCTTAGGTCATGAATATTGTGGTGCTATCCCTCTGCGTTTACGTTTTCCCGTCCTGTTTTGTTTCTACATCTTTGGTGGCAGTGTCTTGGTGTATATTACACCTCTGATACCCCGCAGGGTGGGCAACGTGGTATTTTTGTTATCGTTTTTAATTGGTGTTACATTGGGTTTTGGTGGTTATCCCCTGGAATATTTTACCAAATTAAACTGTCCCAAAGAATCGTACAGCAGTTGGTCGGATTTATGGATACCACATTTGTGGTCATGTAAAAGGGAGATTATTTAAAGAGATAAATGTAGTTATAAGGAAATAAAATGAAGAAATACAAATTGATTTAAGTAAAAGGGAAAAGTAAAAAATCATTTTTTTGAAGGGACTTATTTTTCGATGTTTAACGAGGCGTGAAAAAATATTCTTTAATAAATCCACGCCTCTTCTAAGGTGGCTTGAAAAATATTCTTTAATAAATCCACGCCTCTTCTAAGGTGGCTTGAAAAAATATTCTTTAATAAATCCACGCCTCTTCTAAGGTGGCTTGAAAAAATATTCTTTAATAAATCCACGCCTCTTCTAAGGTGGCTTGAAAAATATTCTTTAATAAATCCACGCCTCTTCTAAGGTGGCTTGAAAAAATATTCTTTAAAAAATCCACGCCTCTTCTAAGGTGGCATGAAAAAATATTCTTTAAAAAATCCACGCCTCTTCTAAGGTGGCATGAAAAAATATTCTTTAAAAAATCCACGCCTCTTCTAAGGTGGCTTGAAAAAATAATCTTTAATAAATCGACGCCTCTTCTAAGGTTTGGAAAAATATTATTTAATAAAGAGGTGTGGATTTATTAAAGAATATTTTTCCAAGGTTTGGAAAAATATTCTTCAACAAATTCACCCCTCTTATAGGCCCTAAAAAAATATTCTTTAATAAATTCACCCCTCTTATAGGCCCTAAAAAAAATATTCTTTAAAAAATCTACGCCTCTTCTAAGTTGGCTTGAAAAAATATTCTTTAAAAAATCTACGCCTCTTCTAAGTTGGCTTGAAAAAATATTCTTTAAAAAATCTACGCCTCTTCTAAGTTGGCTTGAAAAAATATTCTTTAAAAAATCTACGCCTCTTCTAAGTTGGCTTGAAAAAATATTCTTTAAAAAATCTACGCCTCTTCTAAGTTGGCTTGAAAAAATATTCTTTAAAAAATCTACGCCTCTTCTAAGTTGGCTTGAAAAAATATTCTTTAAAAAATCCACGCCTCTTCCAAGGTGGCTTGAAAAAATATTCTTTAAAAAATCCACGAGTCTTTTGAAGGTGGCTTGAAAATATATTCTTTAATAAATCCACGCCTGTTCTAAGGTAGCTTGAAAAAATATTCTTTAATAAATTCACTCCTCCTGTAGACCTTGATAAAATATTCTGTAAAAATCTACCCCTCTTGTAGACCTTTAAAAAATATTCTTTCAAAAAATCACGCCTTCTTTTCTTACTTCGTTCTCTTTTTTATTAAAATCTCTACCAAATATTGATATAAGATAGGAAAACATTATTGGAAATCATAACCATATCATGGTTATTGGCCAATTACGTAGTAGTTCATTTAATTATAAATTGGACATAAATAACAACAATTAAATACAATATTATTAACAATATTTTTTCTTATCGTAAACAATGTTCAATCTATTACCAATTAAATAATTAAGAATTGAGTTTTAGCATAATAATGAAGTTGCCCGGATTCAATTTTCAAATAAAGAAAACTATTTTTTTTATTATTTACATTTTAAATTCAATGTCAGTGTTATTTTAAGTCTTGAGACGAAATATTTTTTTTCTTTTAATGTTGGAAAAAAAATTGATCTCATCATAATAGAATGCAAGTGGTAAAAATTCGATTTCAAGAATTAATTACTTCCACATCTTCAGCTATCCTATTTTATTTTACAGCTAATTAAATATGGCATCAGCCAATCACCCCATCGTCCTCCACCACTTGCCTCCTTGGGACAATTTTCTTTTGTATAAAATTCCGAAATATAAAACAGAAAATCAAAAGTATTACCCACAAAAAAGCAAAACCAAAATATTAAATTTCCCAACCCCTTCGGAATTCTCTTGGTGATATGACTTAAACTAAGTCCCGCAAATACAAATTGCAGTGTTAAAAAGGGGAAAAATAAACGCAAAGCAAAATCAATAAAATATTCATGGGCCAGGGCCGAAATTACAAAAACCGACATACCACAGGCGGCCTTGTTACCCTTAAAAACATATCTATAGAAATCTTTAAAAACATATTCATATAGCCAATCGCCGACCAGCAAATTCCATTTACGAAAATATTCAAACATATCACGGGAGGTCCACCAATCGCGATAGAACATACGATCACCGAAACGTAACAATTCGGCAGTGAAATTTGGCCAGGAATGTAGAAGGAAATAAAAACCGCTCAGCAGGAATAACATTGCCGTCAATTGTATATTAAAATAGGTTCGTATCAATAGAGCTGCACTCAATTCCATTTTTCCAAAATTCTCCATAAATGGCCGCAAATGGTTTTCATAGAGAAATGCAAAAAGGAGGACATAGGCCACACATTCCGCAAAGCGAGCTGCCACAAATTTCCAGCGTATGTGTGAGGTACGTGGATAGTTGTCCTGATACATTAGTGTGGGGGCAAATAAATAATACAAATATTTGCCAAAACCTGGCATTGTCACAGGCTTTTCAGAAGAATCGTCTCCATTCTTTAGCTTTCCTTGTAAGACCCTGCCACAAATTGTCCTGACAAAGGCATGTTGTTTCATTATCATTCGTAGAGTTTCCATAAGTAGTCCAGCACATGAGGCATATTTTATATCAAGCCACAAACATGCTTTGACCGGTAGGTAGAGACACAATATTACACCCATAATGTAGGCCATGAGCCATATGCGGGACCACATCCTTTGTAAGGGTTCTAAGGAAGTAAGGAATTGTAATAATAAAATTCGAAAATTGGTTTATAATTCATAAATAATAATCTTACCATGATGCCGAAGTTTAAACCGAACACTGGACCATGTTTTCAAAGCATAATATACACTACATGTATAACACATTAAACCAAGCCACACTGCCAATGAATAATGTATGTTACCAAATCCAGTGTGGAATAAATTCGCAGCCAGGGTGATTCTAGAAAGATAAAAAAATATTTTGGACATGGATTTCAAAAAGACTTATTTTTAAGGTCGCAAAAGGCTAATTTTTAAGGTCCAAAAGGCGTAGATTTTTTAAGAATATTTTCTCAAGGCTCCAAATGACGTGGATTTTCTAATGAATTTAAAAAGCGCGAATTTTATAAAGCATATTCAAGGCCCTAAAGAACGTACATTTCTTTAAGAATAGTTTTCCAAGGCACCAAAAGAACGTATGTTTTTTAAAGAAAATTTGTTCAAAAGAATATATTTTCTATTTTTCAAAGAGTATTCTTCAATTTATTCAAGACCCAAAAAGGCGTGGATTTTTTAAAAATATTTAAATAAAAAGGCGTAGATATTTTAAAGAATATTTTCTTAAGGCTTAACAGAGGCTTAAATTTGTTTAAGAATATTTTTTCAAGGCATAGATTTTTTTAAAAGTCCCAAAACGCGTGGTGTTTTAAAATATATATTTTTAAGGACCCAAAAGCATATTTTTATGTTGGATTTTTTAACGAATACTTTTAAGTTCCCAAAATGCGTGGATTTTCTAAAGTATATTTTTTCAATGCCCCAAAGGAATTTTTTTTAATATTTTTCACATATTTTTTAAAAATTCACGTCTATATTAGCCCTTGAATTAATCTTTTTTTAAAATTATATTTACAAAAAAAATTATCTTCTATATTGGTGTTAAAAAAATGTCTTTACTCACCTTCCATTTGTAAAATAATCCTGTAGTATATTTTGAAAAGCATAATAAATAAATCCCACCACAAAAATATTATATATTGTTCGTATGTGATCCACTTTCATTAAAGTCGTCAAATATGATTCACGACTTTGGAAAACTTTTTCTGGAAATTTCTGTAAAAAACTCTGTTCTGCTCCCCGTTTCTTATCAGTTGTTTTATCAGGAAATTTCTTTCTTCTATCATAACGTTCTTCATAGGCATCTGCGTTAATTCCATTTGTAAATGAATTTAAATTTGTAAGACTTAGTGAATTAGGAAATTCATGAATTTGTAACTCCTGTTGCCTCAGTTCCTTTTCCAGATCATTTACAATATTGGACATACGTTCCTGGACTTCATTTAGCAGATCCGTATGAAATGCTTTCAATTTGTTTTGTATGAAATGCAATTGTGCACCATGATCTCTGCGAGGTATGGGACCTAAGGTAATAATAAAAATAAAAAAAAAATGTTATTAAAATATTAAAAGACTTATATATGAAAATCAATATAGAAACTTTAACTTATTAATTTAATTTCTTAATTAAATATTTCTAACTAATTTTAATATTTGTTCGACTCACCATTTTGTGTAAACTGTTCTGAGGGCCCATCATTTCGTTCGGAGTTAGCAACCATGTTTATAAAACGTTTATCTTAAAATATGTATTTTGTTTCTTAAATTTATTTCATTGGCATTGAATCGTTATTCCTAATTACTTTTAATTTCGGTTCGATACTTTCAATTCTACATTCAATCGATAACTGTTTAATTCCTGTAGGTGTTTAATATGTTTTGTTTTGAAAAACGATGACCCAATATTGCACAATCCAAATGTAAATCCAGTTCAGCCGGTTATTATAAAAACAAAAAAAAAAGTTTATTATTTACAAATTAATTTAAAAATACAACATTTTTTATATTACAATAAATATTGAGAATATTGACCTAATGTGGTTTACATTTTTGCTAAAAGCCCATCATCAATTTTAAGAACTTTATTGTAGTGTTAATGGAATTTTTATTAAATATATAAAAAATGTAATAAGTCAAGAAGATTGAAAATAAAAATTAAATTTATGAGGTTTAATTATGTGTGATTTGAGGCGCAAATATTAGATCTCCTACACAACAAACATATTGTTTAACCAGTGAGCGGAGCAGTATAGTCGGACGGGCCGACCACGAACCCTTCACAACTACCATGGAACTCTAACTTTCTGCGGATGTTTATTCCGAGTCTGGGTAATATTTCGTGATATTTGCCCCTCTTTCCCGATTAGAGGTAAACAGAACCTTTTCCTTACATTTTCGAATATTCAGTACATACGTTCTAATTACTAGTCCAGATTCCCTTCACGGTGGGTTGTGTTGTGATGTTCGGATTATATTCGACTCGAAAACACACCTGTTCTGAAAACGTGAGCACCTGTAACTATTTGAGTGTAACCCCCACATCCGACTACATACGAAAATATAATTGGTATCAATTTTAAGGTCAACCACTCCTCTTGGATACACTATCAACTTCTCGGCTCTATGTCCTTCAGGGGAAAATATATACGCTATAGAATACAATTTTTGTCATTTTTCACACAAGTCAGGGTCCATTTGACCCGCTAAATATTGACCAATCTTTACCAAAACAGGCATGCTTATTCTTTGGCGGGATCCCCCTCTCTGTGTAAAAATTCGATGTTTCGATTCGATTTGTTTGGGCCATAAATGCGGCCTCTGGAGCGACTAAAATCAGACAAAAATAAAATTTTTGGTCCATTTCACCCCCTAAATATTAACTGATATTTCCAAGAAACAATGGGGGTCTTCAGTGGCCAGAACCCATCCTACATGCAAACGTTCGTGAAGATTGGTCCATAATTGTGGCCTGTATCGTGTTTACAAATTATAATGGACAGACGGACGGACACACATGTCTAAATCTACTCAGCTAGTCGAGATATGATATGATCGGTGGGTCTAGGACCAATATTTCGCGGCGTTACAAACTTTTGGGGCTGCACAAAGCTATAATACGCTCACAACATACTTGTGTAGGTTATTATTAAGAAGACCTTACCTTCATTTAAGCATTTTTATGGTCCTAGACGTATTTCCAATGGATGTACCTGTAATTTGACATTCCGTACAACAGTTTTTTGCTGATCATTTTCAACATAGGCCTATGTTCTGGCATAACACCCATATTGAATTTTCAACATGTAATTGTCTTCTCCGCAGTTTGAAAGTTGATTTTTGCTTTTGTTTAGAATAATAGTCCTCATGGATCCATGTTTTGATAAAGCTCCCAAAAAAGGTTCCTCAAAAAGCTTATTTCAAATCGTAACTTCTGAAATATACGAAAAAAACCAATTTGTGTTACTGCTGATTTTATTTTGTTGTCAGATAACGCCGCAGACATGGCCTGTAAATCAAGACAAATGCCGACCCTGTGAAATTTGCAAATATATATTTTTATATTCTCTTGGAACTGTTTAGTTGTCAATACTTACAGATTATTTGTAAAACACTACTGGACTTACAGATTTATTGTAAAAAAATTCTGGACTGGTAGGATGCTTATTTTGGATCTTTGAAACAGATTCGAAGCCCAACCTTCCTTTGTCCCTTATGTTATTTTGAGGTTATTATACATCTAAATGTCTATCATGAGATAAAATAACGACCATTGAATATATCGTTTTAATAATTTGGTTACCAGTTCATTTATTTATTTTAAATATTTTTCAATTAATTATTATATTCCTTTAATTCCATTTTTTTCTAAATAAATTTGAATTTTTTTCCTCTTTACCTCAACCCAAACCCACTTTTACAATAGGTCGCACTTGTGTCCACATCTGGCAACTCCACTCTACAAACACAGTTTATTTTGACAACCAACGCGCCATCTGCCAAATTGTTGACAGTTGTGAGAACATTGAGAGCGCATACTCCAATTTTGACAATCGGCCATCAGTCGCTGCGAGAGTTTCTCAACAAAACAAGTCAAAAAAGTTTCCACGGACGGAGGGAACGTTTCCGATAAAAAAAACTAAGAATTTTTGCCGATTGTAAATTGCAAACGCAGTGACGTTTCAATTGTTGTATTGATTACAAAATAAATTGAAATTAGGTGCTCCTCCTGAGACAAAATGTTGGTAAACGAAGCCCGTTTAATGTTGAGCCGTACTGGTGCTTTGGCCGCACGTCAGCAGGTATGGATCGAATGGCGAAAAACAGCAAGCAAATACTTTTCGCTAAGGTGTTGGTGGTGGGGGTATTATGATAGCTGTCGCTGCTCGCTCGCCACCCAAAATAATGTGTCTTACATAAGTTCGAGGGGGAAAAGTGATAAAGTTGTGAAAAAAGAGTTTCATAATTATTCTGTAAATAGAACCTTGAAGAATTATTCCTACTGGTCACTGAATTAATATTCTTGACATTTTTACAAGCAAAATGTGTTATGTAAACTGTGAGCAATTTTCGAATATTCGCGTGCTTTATGATGGCAGTCGGTGAAAAAAATAATTTTCCCCCAGCACCATATCTAGTATAGATTGTTTGTAATTGTTTTGTTTATTGTTCGTTCATGCTCATGTGTGTTTTTTCTAAAACTTTTTTTTTTCGTTTTCTGTTTTTTACAGTTGCGTTCCCTCACCTCGGGCAGCCAACAAAATAACCAGCAGGCTGAAGTTAAGTCCGCTCCCGAACCACAAATCAAAACTTTCCAAATCTATCGCTGGAATCCCGATAATGCTGGCGAGAAACCCTACATGCAAACCTATCAGGTTAATTTGCGTGAATGCGGTCCCATGGTCTTGGATGCCTTGATCAAAATTAAAAATGAAATGGATCCCACTTTGACTTTCCGTCGTTCATGCCGTGAAGGTATTTGCGGTTCCTGTGCCATGAACATTGGTGGTACCAATACATTGGCTTGCATCAGGTAAGATAACCTTTCTTTTTGTAAAATTCGAAATCAGGAAATTCTGTGTAAGAAAAATCTTTTCATCAATTCCAAAAGAATTAAAAACCTTGGAAAATAGCTCTATGGAATTCTTTCTTTTCGAATTATACATTTCTTTCCATTAAATTAAGGCTATTTATTCTGTTTTTCCGTTGGATTAGAATTTAATGTAAAGAATGGATGAAAATTCGATACAGCCGGCTATCGAATTCTCATATTTTGAAAATTAACATCTCTTGTTTTTTTGTTCTTCCCATTAGAGCATTACATCGAATGTAGCTAATTATAGGTCACTTTTAGGTTTTCATAAAGATCCCATGCTGTGATGACACTAATTTATGAGCCCCTGACTATCTACTTAGCCGCCTTTGCCCTTTTGTTACATAGGGTTTGATTTTTAGAAAACTGGTTTGGTTAGTGTCTTGTAATATTATTGAAACAGGTAGAAATGCATGATGACCTTTTTTGGGTTTCGGTTTTTTATGAAATGCATTTCATTAAGAGATTTTAAAATTTTAAATCTTGATCTTTTCTTTTTGTTTTAGAAATTCAATTTAATTTTTTTAATGAAATTGTTGTTGTTCTCCCCGTAGAGAGAGATATGAGACGACAGAGCTATCTATCAGCTGGCTAGTAGAAGTAGTGTATGATATGGCGCAACAATTTGACCATGAAAGGGCATGGCATTCAGAAAAATGTATAGATTAAGAACATACACACATAGATAGATAAAAGCAAATGTAGAACATAATTTTTTAGCTATTGATAAAATAGCATTGTTTTGAATGGGAAAAAAGGCTACAAACAAAAATGTTATGTCCAGTAAATAATTGGAATGAATATGAGGCGATGATTATAAGTAAATGATATTCAATTGCATTAACTAACTTTAATGTATTACAGGTAGGCAATATCTGCAACAATATTTGCCATTCGTTCTCATCACGGTTCTAGACTCAATTCAGTATGCTATACCAAATTCTGTTCAAATCGAAAGATATATATGGACTTTGGTGCACCATTTACATTAAATCGGGCGAAAATATATATGAGAGCTGTATATAAATCTGAACCGATTTACACGAAATTTAACACACATCGTTGTAGGGCTCATTCAGTACGATATGCCAAATTTCGTGGATATAGAAAGATATACAGTGACTTTGCTGAACCATTTAAATCAAATCGGTCGAAAATATATATGGGAGCTATATCTAAATCTCAACCGATTTTCAAGAAATTTTACACACATCATTCTAGACTCATGTCAGTGCGCTATGCCAAATTTCGTGGAAATAGAAAGATATATAGTGACATTGTGAACCATTTACATTAAATCGGTCGAACATATATATGGGAGCTATATCTAAATCTGAACCGATTTTTCCCAATTTCAAATGGGTTTGTCCTTGTGCCAAATAGACGAGCTGTGCCAAATTTCATCCAATTCGGATGATAAATGCGACCTGTACTTCGTTTACAATTTAACATGGACAGACGGAAGAACGGACATGCATAAATCGACTCAGAAAGTGATTCTATATGCATATTCTCAAAAGGAACCATGTGTCTATATAGGTTAGAGACATATGCACAAAGACATAATACCCTATATCACAGTGTGGTGAAGGGTATAAAGACGGTTATCATATGACCATAACGCTCTGAATTGACGGTGACTGCCGCTCCTTAGTCGTTTTCGAAGAAGTAAGACCTTATCACACCTTCGGACCAAAGAGCAGAGGAAAGAGTGGATTTTTACTATGCCCAGGCCATACAATTTTTGTAACCGCCTCAGTCTTTTCAAATTTCTTAAGAATTGCTTGCATATTCTCCTGTTAAAGCTGTGGTCCTCTCCTTCTGTTTCTGAAATGATTCAGGGCAAACAAAATAGGTTTAAAAATAAATTAATTTTCAAATTCACTATTATTATTATTGTACCGATCTCAATGAAAATTTCGTAGTGCTGGAATCGTAATTAACGCACACAGAACATATAAAAAGAAATTAAATGATGTCTGAGTTTCAAACTAAATTCTGATCAAGTTTTAAAAAAATTTGGTTTGATGCTACGCCTTTTTCTTATTCAAAATTTGACAACAGTTTTATTATTATTATTTATTATTCATTTCAAAGCCAAGCCAAAAAAAAACTTAAATTGCCAGTATACTACAAAATAAACTTAGACCAAATTACAAATATAAATTTTACACAATAGCATTTCTTTTCATGTAACGTATGTTCAAGCTCCATAATTATTCATTAAAAATCATTTGAATATGAACTACTAAGATTTGACTACAAAAACATTAAAGTAAAATATAAAGTAATTACAGAAATTTTTCTTCAGTATTCAAACTACTCTTATTTATTAATTTTTTTAAAGCCCAGAATATGGAGAGAAATATATATGCCAATCATAATCTCCCACACGCCATATTTATGACCCCTTATAATTAGTTGTTACCTTATATAATACATAGATAATCAGCAATGATGCTACCTTATCACAAAAATTTGTATATTTAATTGTTTAAAATTTGGGTTGCAAAATTTTCATTATTTATTTTATTTTTTAATTTTTCATTGCAGCAAAATCGATACCAATACATCGAAACCCTTGAAGGTGTATCCTTTGCCTCACATGTATGTTGTACGTGATTTGGTTCCCGACATGAATCATTTCTATGAACAATACAGATCCATTCAACCCTGGTTGCAGCGCAAGTAAGTACAAAACTATGTGATTTTTATTATATATGTATGATATCTAATACTAAAAATAACAATTTTTTAATAGGAACGAAGCCAGCGAGAAGAAGGGCAAAGCCCAATACTTGCAATCCGTTGAAGATCGTTCCAAATTGGACGGTTTGTACGAGTGCATTTTGTGTGCCTGTTGCTCAACCTCTTGCCCATCGTACTGGTGGAATGCTGAGAAATATTTGGGCCCTGCTGTCCTTATGCAAGCCTACCGTTGGATCATCGATTCGCGTGACGAAAGCACACACGAACGTTTGGACAAACTTAAGGATCCCTTCAGTGTGTATCGTTGCCACACCATCATGAACTGCACACGCACCTGCCCCAAGGGCTTGAATCCCGGTCGTGCTATTGCCGAAATCAAGAAATTGTTGTCCGGTATGGCTAAGAAACCTGAACCCAAATTGGATACCGCTGCTTTGCATAAGTAAATCGATATTTTGGATAGCAACAACAACAACAAAATACTATAGTGATTAATTATCGCTTTATAAATCCAAGTTTCCTGATATTCTCTATTGTACTTATAAAGTCGATCTAACAGTTTTTCCAACTATACAAGTTATTGCATAAACCTCATTTTATCGTATAGTTAGAGTGATGGGGTTATCTAACATGCATTGATATTTCTTTGGTTTTTTCTCATTCACAATTTTGCTACAATGATTTCTTCTTTATATGTGTTACCAGTAAAACTTGAACAACGAGGTTGCGTTGTGTTGCTCCAACAACTACCACCACTATCACCTACTATTTAAGAAAAGTGTAAAGTTTTGAATCGATTTCCTCTCAAGTTTTTCGTGTGTTTTTTGTTTTATTTATTATTTTGTTATTTAATTTACGATTTTACAACTTTGACTATCCACGAACAAACCAAACGGCAAACTCACTACAACAAAAATATACAAATTGTAAAGAAGAAAAATTATGTATGTCCATACATATTAATTGAAATTGAAAGAGAGTGTTAGGGCAAAGTTTTGTAATAAAAATGTAGAACTATCGTATATTATTATATAAACAGTAATAACTACAGTATGTATATCTAAAGAAATAAATGCATAAACAGAAAAAATAAAGTGAAAAGAGTTTTTTTTTTTATTAAAAATGTGAATTTTTATAGGATCAGGTATTTGTAGAAGGTCCGGTAAAACCAAAAAAAATGCACTGGTTTCATACCAACCGATTTATTAAAACAGAGTATGTGAAAGACCAAAATCTATTTGGGACGACTTATAACCACAATATCTAGCAAGCAAGAATTCAAGCCGCTGTACCCGATGTAAAAAATCCTGCGGATAGTCAATTTCGTACTTGATTGAGGCAATTTCCTTCTCGCTTATACGTGTCACAAATTGAACGTAGATAAGGACTCCATACCAAAGTGTCTTTGGAGGAGTACCAACTCGTCGTTTCTTTTCCCTCAGTGGACGTCATCTTCAGAATTACCGGCTTGTCGGCTAAAGTCGACACTCTACTGGCATTTCCACCATTGAAGAGCAATCATAACCAACGGACATGCTTGACGGCCCCTGTTGTCTAGAGGTAAGTCGGGATGCTATCATGTCTCTGACAGAAACTCCCGAATTCCTCAATAATGCTAAAGAGAGATTCACTGTGTCGGATCAAATTAAAATGTATGTCTGTATGAGGTGAAGCCCTTATATCGATGAGGCTTTGTTCGAATACATTCGGTATCTTGGTTGTGAACCGTACACGCTGATGGGCAAGCGTTCGCATAACACCCCAGCGCTAGGGAGTTATACTTTTGGAGAAGACCCATGGTGTTTGATTGGGTGTAGGGGTGTCAGTCGAGAAGATACTCCCTATAGACCGCTTTACACCCCTGCCGACGTATTCACTATGGCATTGTCGAGAACTTTCTGCCTGAAAGTATGCTACAAAATATTTCAACTTAAACATTTAACTGAATCTTTACTAAACACAGCTACAGTGTATCAGCCAATGTGGTATTTTACCGAAATATGGAATATTTTGTATACGGATGTATATGAGACCATTACAGCCATAAATAAGTAATAAAAATATATATTGTGATAATGAAAAATAAATTAATGAAATAAATCGCGTTTCTTAAAAAATAAACTAGTTGAATTTGTCTTTTATGAACCTTTGCAATACGTACAATTTGATTGAACAAATCCCATGTGCGTTACGATACACCTTTTGTACTAACTACACATATTGCCATGGTTAGTGTCCACAATAACTCGCAAATACCATATTGTAACTAAGTAGTTGGCAACACTAACCACAGGTAAAATATCGATATTTATATATCGTTATACAATGTACAGACCATGATGCAATAATAAGGTGATGTATACCAACAAAAACCTTTGTTTTTGTCTCGATTATCTGTCAAATTTTCCATATAATATTTCAAATGGTTGGCAACACTGCACATCGAATTCAAGTAGAAATTACCCACTTTGACAGTTAAGCAAGACATCAGCTGCGCTAAATGGACTACCTATTCATTGTGCCATGGTGCAGACTAAAGGGCTAAGCAGAATGCTCGCGTTGAGCCATCCGTTGCGTTATGTGTTATCGAAAATACAACAACCACAAGGAAACGATAACACAAACGCTCGAAGTTGATGTGCGCTGCCCTTCGGAGTTAAATATATTTTAACTTTTTGCGTGCGTTAACGCGATAACAAAAAACGCTCAACGCGAGCATTCTGCTTAGCCCTTAATGTTGTTCGCGCAATCATTCATTGTTCCTATTAATGGAATTTGATTGCATTTTTTAAGTATAAACACACTTTAAAAACAGAGAGGTGAACAATATAGTCGTACGGAACCTACCATATGATACCCTACACCACTACCAAGCGCCGCTAAAAATATCGGTCAATATTATATCTGATATTGACAGATTATCATCAAAAGAAACATGGTTGTTCGGTGGCCAGATCCCTGTTGTGGCGTTCAGGTCGTAACATCAACACTGAACGCCACCATCGTCCCTAACAATATCCATTAAATAGGTCGTGTGGGAATCAAATATTATCGGCAATTTTTATTGAAAATTCCACTAATGTCAAACTTTTTTTACGTTTTTATACAATTAAATCAAAATTGAAAGCATTTTGACAGCTCGGGTGAAATCATCTGGCCTTATCGGAGGGTCATTGTCCAAACTTGAACAATTGTGGTGGAAGTTTCGCCGCTACCGTTCGCTGGGTCACAATAATGCTCCAAAAGAGTTTACCGTAAAGAAATAGATTAATAAATTTGCCGAAACTGGATCTGTTAGTGATTGTTGACGAAAAATGCAAAAACGCCACAACATGATAACAATTGGTCTGTTCCCGTACTGCAAAAATGTACTAATTTGTACTATTTTCTTCGATATCATAAAGAAAAAATTGTTATCGTAGTAAAAAATTTTACATTCTTCCAGGTTCTGAAACAGGCCAATTTTTTTTCCTTTGTGATATCGACAATAATTGTAAAATTCAGTAGATTCTTGCATGTACCAGCAAAGCCCCGGAGGCCATCCGGATTATTTATTGTTCAATACATAGCCTCATTCTGTCTACTTTACAATAATATAAAATTTTACGATTGAAAATTTACAATGAAATGGAAAGTGAAGACAAATGTCGAACCCTGAAAAATTTGAAGTTAATACGCGGATGTAATTTCGCATCAATTGTGACATAAACTGATGAGCCGAACGAAAGGCGAAACGCATAATGGTGGGTACGCAGGTTCTTCTCCTGGCTCGGCTCGAAGGAGAAAATACTCACATAGATGGTCTGTTCCCGTACTGTAAGAATCTACTACTTTGTCTGCTTTTCCACAGGCAAATTTTTATTTGGCAAATACTGAGTTTGCAGGCGAGAGGGGTGCGAGGAAGAAAAACAAAAATTTGCCTGTTCAGAATTTGCCGTACACGCAAATTCTGCTTTGCTCTGTTCGTTGAAAACAATTTTGTTGACATTTCCTTTTGAACCTATTCGCTTTACTGACACACAGTCAGATTTTGTTTACAAACCTGTTGCTTTAATTTGTGCAAGTGAAATTTAATTTTTAATTTTTGCAATTTATATAATAAAATATATAAAAAATAAATAAAATATTAAAAAATCTTTAAAATGCAAACACTATTTACGTTTTTTCTTTCTTTTGTATTTTGATTCGCAAATTTGGCAAAGAAAAATTTGCTAATGGAAAAGCAAGCGAAAATTTCAAAAGAGAAAACAAAAAATTTGCCAAATAAAAATCTGCCTGTGGAAAAGCAGACTTTATACAATTTTTTTCGATATCATAAAGGACAATTTGTTATCGTAGTAAAAAGTAGTGAATTAATGCAGTGGGGGAACAGACCAAGAATTAATTAAAATGGTCATCGTTATTACCATACCGCTCTATATAATGATATCTTCTTCTTCAAATGGTATTGAAATTTGTTTTTTGTAAGAATTGGAGGCATTTCGGTTGAAAATGCGAGCTATATATAACTTTGATCGATTTGGACTCATTTTCAGTATTAAACATGCTAAGAGCTCTACCTTAAATGTTACAATGTATGGTATGTTCCTGTTCTACGAGTTTTTACTATTTTTTCCGATATCATAAAGGAAAAAAGATTTATCGTAGTAAAAAATAGTAGATTCTTGCGGTACGGGAACAGGTCAATTTAGTGGTTTAAAATTTTCTACTCAGATCAAGAATATGTATACTTTATGGAATTTTCAGTGGACAATTTGCAATACCAAAAATCCATAATAGCAATGTGTGTGCAAAATTTCAAAGCTCTATCGTAAATAGGATGATATTTTTACATCTTCAAGTCTAAAGGATATAGGATTTGATTCTGATCATGAAACATATATACTGTTTCCGTACTACAAGAATCTACTGTTTTTTTACGACGATAACACCTTTTTCCTTCGTGATGTTTCCGATGCATATTCTGAAATGACAAATTTATTATATACTCCATATCTTGCTGGAGGATATAATAAACAGACGTTATTTATTATCTATAATTTTTTTCAAATATTGAACAAAAATAATTAAAATTTACAATTTTTATCACATTTATCTAAACAATACATTATTTGTATGACATGAAACGAACCCCATTGTTAAATATCGATACTGCTGGCAATAACAATCGATATTCACTTATCGATAATGCCCTCCCATTGTTTGTCAGCTCTAGGTATGCGCTTGTCATTTTCATTCGCATATTTTTAATTGATTTGAACGGACGTTGCTGTACTCTCGCAAAGCGTTTGAGTTGCGCGTGTGTTGTTCAATAAGAGAAAAGAACAAAAAACGCAGAAAATAAAATATAAATTAATGTGCAAAAAAGGAAATACAAATTCTGAAACAATTGATGACTAACTGGGCACACATCGCAAACAAATAATAAGGCCCCGCAAAAAAGTGAA